GTCAGGTGTTGAGCTGAACATTTTGATCTGCACCTGCTGAACACACACACACACACAGACACACACACACACACACACACAGACACACACACACACACACACACAGACACAGACACAGACACACACACACCTAACAGAGGACAGCTCCTGCTGGAACCACAGCAGCTCCACTAAAAGAGAAGAAATCTGTGAAAAAAACAGTGAAAAAAAGAAAAACAAACAATTACGGTTGTTTTTATTTACCTGTGTTCAGTCCTGATCCAGGTGTTGGTGTCAGGAACACCTGGATGGAACCTTTGGAAACATGAAATGAATTTTCAGGTTGGAACCGTCTCCAGTTCTCTGATCCTGGAAGGGGAACAATAGCCAATCAGACGCTCCGGTTCTCACATGCTTCAGGTGAGCTGAGGCGGGGAGGACCTCATCAGAGCCCATTCACACCTGGACTTCCTGTTGCCATCACCATGGAAACAGCCAAGTGTTGCTTTGATTCAGTGACCAGCAGCAACACGGTGAGTGGGCTCAGGTACCGTCACCTGCTGACCCGACAGGAAGTTARACCAGGACCGTCTCACCTGCCTTCAGGTGCTGAAGCTCGGTCCATTATGGTACCAGGCAGGGACCACCTGACAGGACTTCTTCTCTGATGTTTGGATCAGAACAAACTSATGAGTCCCGGAAACACAGAACTAAGGTCCAAAGCCTCCTGGTTTACCTGCATCAGTAGAATCCAGAACCAGGTCCTGAAGACCGGAGCTGGAATGAAGAAGCTTCAGGCTGCAGCTAAAAACAGMAAAGATTTTCAATCTGCAGATTTGATCTGAATTAATTCAGTTTGTCTGGAAATGTGCTGCAGTTATCAGCTGTACCAGGTCCAGACCAGACCAGGTCCATTACAGACCAGCAGGGACAGAATCTGAGTGTGTATTTGTTGTGCACRGACTCACACAGGAAGTGAGAGAAGTTGTATCTGAGCAGGAAGATGCTGATTGCTGTGATGACTGGTGAAAACAAACATGGGGGGAGGKGGGTGTCATCAGAACCGTTCCCACCATCGTGCTGAGCTGAACCCATAAGACCAGGACCACATTCACATCAAGTGATCCTTTTAAATCACAAGATCTAAAAACCAACAGTTCAGATGAAAAACTACAAACTTTAAACTAAACAATTCAAACAGATCAAACTGTTAACTATAAAGTCCTGATGCGTCTCAGTAATCCAAGTAGAAAAAAGAAAAAAGAAAAAATCAGTAGGTCCTCTGGATGGTTCTTCTTTAGTGAAACGTTTCGTCTCTCCTCCAAGAGACCTTCAGAACTCTGTAGCACAGAGCAGACAGGGTCCCCACAAACACAGGAGCCAGGGAGAAAGACAAGTCACACACAAGACAGGCCCTGGAGCAGTGTGGTTATCCTAACTGGGCTTTTCTGAAAGCAGACAAGAAACACAAACAGGATTCCACCAGACAACCAGCTGAACATGAAGACCCTAAACCCAGACCCAAACCAGTCGTCATTCCATATGTGGGGGGAGTTTCAGAGAAACTGAGATGTTTATTCTCTAAACATGATGTCCCAGTGGCTTTCAAACCCCAAAACATGTTACAACAAAGATTAGCTCACCCCAAAGATCAGGTTCCCCGGCAAAAAACAGAGTAATATAGTACAGTGGTTTGCAAAAGTATTCATACCCCTTGAACTTTTCCATATTTTGTCACATTACAACCA